GGTGTCACTTTCTTCTGCTCCGTCGGCCGTATCGCGAGGTCGTTTCGTTATGGCGGGGTCCCGCCTTGGTTGTTTTGATGGCAAGGTATCGCCTTCGACCGATCCGTCGGCCATATCATAAAGTCCTTTCTTTGTAGCTCTGGCCGTTGGCGGTTCAGATAACTGCCTTTCGCACATGGCGGTCTCAGAGGTATCCGGCCGATCAGCATCTCTGGCCGCCTGTGTATCAGATACCCAATTGTAAATCCAGTCTAAACGAGGATTGATAGAGTCGCGTATACTGGGATATCTTTGGCCTTTCCTCGCCATAATCTGACGACACTCATTTACGAAATATTCATGACGCGCTTTCCAGAAGCCAAGGTCGTCTGGCAGTTGGCTGCCGTCACTCATCAGTAGGTCGGTAACGCGTCCCTTGGCGCGTAACTCCTGTCTCTGAATAGCATCGATGCCCTCTTTCCCTTCCTTCCGCAGAAGGCTCATCGCCTGGGCGACTCGATGTTTCCACCTATTTAGGCGTTGGGTGGGTTCGCGCCAGTTGGGGTCGCTGTCGTTTGAGCTATCGAACGTTAAAATAGAGCGGTCTCCTGAGGCGGGCCCGGACCAGGTGCTAGAAGGGGCCGGCGACTGGATAACTTCATTATTTTCCGTAGTCATACTGCAGTGCTTAGAAGGTGGGACGAATGATGATGCCGAACGTAAGTGTTTGGAGGTAGCGTGGTTCATGGTAGTGTCTGCGCTGACAAAGCACTACAATTAGCAAATAGAGCACGCCGCTTTAGCGCTTGGTTAAATGGCACTTCATCCTCCCGCACCCGTAATATTGGTTGTACCGGTTGGTACACAGATCCTCACCAATCAACCCACCTCGTCTACGCGCCGTTCTGCTACCCCTCCTTTTGAACTTCAGAAGGATTGGCTGGTGGCTACGTTTTCATTTTCACAGTATGAGCGTTGATGATGATTGGCTCCCCGGCTCTGATGCCTTGCACGACAATGTAGGGCAATCAACAGACTATATCTTCCTGCGTTCAAGACCCCCCCCTAGCTTTGTGCAAACTCGACTCTTCTTTTTACAAACCACTTTTCAATCCTCAAAACTATGACGTGGACAATTATCTCTATACACGCCCCGTCGTCCGTTGTCGACCACTCGCATAACTATATCTTCCGCGTAAGTGAAGAGTTGGACTTTGCCTCCGATAGTTATGCCTCCAAGAGCCCGTCTGACCAAAGCGACAATGGCACACCCGCTCCGGCGTCTCTCCCCCCCGACGTCACGCTTGCGTTGACCACAGGGCATTTTCCGAAGGATCCTAGAGTCGGCTTTGTTTTCGGCACAGACAGGGACAAATGCGATATACTCCTTCCCCGGAACCCAGAGCATGCTATTAGCTCAAGGCAGTTTGCGATTACGTTTCAGACCAGCAGTGGGGCTGTCATTCTGCGCAACTTGTCCAGACGACACACAAAAATTGTGATAGGGACAAGTTTGGAGACAACCCGATTGCAGACGCAGAGGGCTATGCCCAGCGGGCGCATAGCTGTACGGTTTCATGGGCTGACCATAGAGCTCAGTCGACCTTGGGGAGATGATCATGTTCCAAAAATCTACACCACTTTCCTTGCCACACTCGCCAATGCGGTCCCAAATCTCGGAGCGATGCAGCTCTCGAGCGCGGCTGCATCGTCCGCGAGAACCTCTACAAGCAACAGACGAAGCATCTACGGGTCCGAAGTTATCGTTGGGTCAGGGGCGTCCGCGATAGTTTACCGGGCATCCCATAGGCAAACCGGTGATGTTGTCGCCATCAAACGCTACAAAGAGAAGCGCGCAACAACTACCTGGAAAGAGGGTAGCATACTTTGCACGCTGAGCCACGTACGTTGTGAACTCGTCACTCACGCTGTCTTTCTCTAATACCTCACAGAAACATATCGTCACCTTTCACCACTTTCATGTTCGTGATGGAGAAGGAGCAGAGCTCATTATGGAGTATGCTGTTCTCGGTAGCCTACTCGACCAAATGAGAGCTATGAGACTTACGGTGAAGGAAGCCCGCACGACTATCGAACATACCCTCCTAGCGCTGCAGTATCTACACGACAAGGGAATCACCCATCGGGATATCAAGCCCGGTAATATACTCATCATGGACCGTAATCCAATCCACGCCAAGGTCGCCGATTTTGGGATATCTAGCAAGGCTGATTACCACGACACGCTTTGCGGCACGGCCCGGTATAGTGCACCCGAAATATGTCAGCCACCATACACAGCAAAGGTCGACATTTGGTATGTGGGAGTCATAATGATGGAACTCTTGGGGAGTCTTCCCGCAAAGAGCAAGGTGTCCTGGGCTGAGAAGTTGGTGGCGCACAAGACAAAGCAGCCATCGAATATGGTGACAGAATTGCTGGACGCATGCTTGCAACTTGAGCCAAAAGACAGAGCGACCGCTAAGAAATGCCTTCAACTTCCCTTTTTCGATTCCCAAACTGATGAAGCACAAAATCAGACTCTTCTCGCGAATAGCCTTGATGCTGAGGGCTGTGCAACGGTTGTGAGAATCGACAGCAGCATCCCAGACACTGCCCCATGCGATGTGCCGGAAAACAAACCTCCGCTCCTGCTAGAGGAGCAGGGAGAAGAGCCTCCACCAGCAGTCTCCAATCTAGGTTGGAACGTAGAGGACTTGGAACCATTTCTGCTGCACGGGGAAGGGGAGCAAATCGCGTCTCCTCCACAGTTGCAAGGCTGGACAAGTGAAGACTGGGACCGTCTCCTGTCACAGGCAGAAACTCGGCCAGAACTATACCTGAATCTTCCCCTATTTGAAGAGATTCCCACCTGGAACCCAATTGACGTGGAAAATTGGATCCCCGGCGGTGCACGCGACGTTCAATCGGACACAGCTGCAACGGACCCCGTGACTGCGTCGGACAGCGACAAGTGATAACAAGCTGCTCATGGCAAACAGGACAAATATCACGAGACTGCGGGCGGGTCAAGGCACAATTGTAGGTGGCGATATCCTCCGGTCTCGCAAATGCTGCTTGTTCCTCCTGACTGGTGCAGTGACACGACTGAAGTACTGTCAGAGGACGAGGAAAGGAAGAGAACGAACGGTGAGGCTACATAGATGGAAGGAAACGAGGCGACATCGTAAATGAACCTTCACTCTACATCCACTCCTCTCAATCCGGTCCAGTAGATCAACGCCACTTGATTGAGTTGAGTGGTGTGCAATCCTGGATCTCTGATTCATCTATTTGCAAGTCTGACCTTGGAACTACATACATTCCCACGCCCACAAGTAGTCGGAGAACCAGCCTGCCAGCTGACGGCGAACACGAAACGTCTTCTGTATAAAATTTCTTTTACTCACTCAATAGACATCATCGGCCCACGTTGCATGCAAGACATGTACAAACAGGTGAGGGCAACAGAAATCCACGAGAGGGCCAAGAATATCTCATCTATTATCCTATTTATATTAACTCAATATAGCCTATCGATCTAAATATTACAGTACAATGCTAAGGTCCCAAATTAAACTACTCCTCACTTCCTTCCAACGAGACGTCATCGCCGCTGGAGTACTGCTCGTCTCCGTCATTCGAAGACTTCAGCGTCTCCATTGTTTCCGCCTTCAGAGACTTCAGCGTCTCCGTTGCTTTGGTCGTCGAAGACTTGATCGTCTCCGTTGTTTCCGCCTTCAGAGACTTCAGCGTCTCCGTTGCTTTGGTTGTCGAAGACTTGAGTGTCTTCGTTGTTTCCGCCTTCAGAAACTTCAGCGTCTCCGTCGCTTTCGTTGCCGGAAGATTTCTCGGCTTCGTTGTCGGAAGATTGCCCGGCTTCGTTGTCGGAAGTTTGCCCGGCTTCGTTGTCT